GAGTGCCCATTTCACCATAGACAGGTGGTATTTCTGTAGGCATCAGTGGTGTTAAGGGCATTTCAGAAAGATGATACAGCATAAGTAAATAGCTAGAAATAGCTAAGTGTATGTAACCTTGGTGAATGCTGAGTAAGTAATTCACTGTGGCCAGAATATGAGTATGGGTACATGAGAATATAGTGGAAGAAAAGTATAGAAAACTATGTTAGAAGATAGATCATGAAGAACCTTGAATGCCTGGCCAGGAATTTGGACTTTAGTATGACAATAATGTTAACTATTTTTAAAAATTTACCATGAGTTTACATGATCTATAGTTGGGTGAGAATGGAATCTGAATTAGAGAAGAGCCATTGGGAACAGAAGAGAGAAAATACACATAAAATATGTTTCAGAGGCTGAATGGACAGGGCTATGTGGACTGAGGGAGAGAAAGGAGAGCCCAAGATGATACCAAGGCTTTGAATCTGAAGATAGTGATGTATTATTCAAAATAGGGATTTTTTTTTTTTCTGGAGCTTATTCTAAAATAATTTTCAGGGATGCGGGAGAAAGGGAATTTGATTTTAGACTTGTTGAGTGAAAGAGAGAGAGAGAGTGTGTGTATTGAGTGGTAGTAGGGTAGGCAGGTAGAGAATTTGGATTTTTCAAGCAGAGCTGTCATGTTGGCAGTTGGACACGAAGTCAGTTGCTTAATATAAAGGTCCTTTTTATAGACAGGATATATGCACATTATGGCAATAGTTGAAACTCAAGGAGCAGATGAGTTTGCTTTAATATACCTACAGCTAGATCATGAAGTATCGGTGGAAGAAAATAATCTAAGAAAGGAGGCTAAAGATTATATAGTAGAATGCCCTCGCCCTGGCTGGTTTGGCTCAGTGGTTGGAGCATTGGCCCGAGGACCAAAGAGTCTTGGGTTCGATTCTGGTCAAGGTCACATACCTCAGTTGCTGTTTGATCCCTGGCCCTGTTGGGGTCTTGCAGGAAGCAACCAATCGATGTGTCACTCCCCATCAATGTTTCTCTCTCTTTCTCTCTTTCCCTCCCTCTCTCACTTCCACTCTCTGAAAATCAATGGAAAAAATATCCTCGGGTGAGGATTAAATGATATATATTTCAAAATAACAATAAAAATGAGTCGGGATAGTGCTCTGTCATAGAAATAAATATAGCAGCCCTGGCCATTGTGACTCAGTTGGTTGGTATGTTGTGTCGTATACTGAAAGGTTGCAGGTTCGATACCCAGGTTGTTGGTTCAATTACTGGTCAGGGTAAATATGGGAGGCTACCGATTGATGTTTCTCTCTCGCATCAATGTTTCTCTCTATCTCCTTCTCCCTTCCTCTCTCTCTAAAATTCAATAGAAAGCATGTCCCTGGATAAAGATTAAAGAAAAAGAAGAAGAAAGAAATGCAGCAGAGAGTTTATAAAGCAGACAAGTGTTTCACATTTCTGTGCTTTAGCATATGCTTTTTGGGTCATTGGGCAATGTATTTACCTCCTCCAACACAGGAGCAGTCCACTCATCTGAAAACTTAATACAAGTAGTGAATCCTCTGTGGAGGCAGTTAGGCATCTCCTCCTGTATGGTCCCAAAGTCATAAAGACGTATATCCTTATACCATGATGTGTTGTGTTTTATTCTTTTTTTTTTTTTTTATCCTCACCCGAGGATATTTTTCCATTTTTTTGTACAGATAGAGTGGGAGGGAGAGAGAGGAAGAAACATCGACGTGAAGGGACACATCGAGTGGCTGCCACCCGCACGACCAACCAGGGCCGGGGACAAACTGCAACCGAGGTACGTGCCCTTAGCGGGAACCGAACCCGGGTCTCTCCGGACCACAGGCCGACGCTCTAACCGCTGAGCCAAACTGGCCAGGGCTTGTGTTTTATTCTTAAAAAATATATCTAATTCTCCACTGGACTGTGGGCTCCTTCAGGAAAAGATAGTTTCTTATTAATTTTTTATCTCCATGGCCTAGATAATGCTTGTCATCTTATAGATGCCTAGTAAATGCTTGTTGAATAAATAAGTACTGAAAAGAGATTTTTAGATTTAAACACTAAAACAAATAGATAATCTTCAAGAAGAACTGTTTCAATAGAGAAGGGAATTTAGAATACTTAGTATTAAAGAGAAATACTGTAAGGGGTCAACAAGATATAAGTGAAAATATTGCTTAATTTTAAAGGGTTATCATTTGCCCTGGTCAGTGTAGCTCAGTTGGTCGGATGTCCTCAGTGCATGAGAGGGTTGCCAGTTGGATTCCTGGTCAGGGCACATGATCTGGTTGCAGGCTCTATCCCTGGTGGGGTGTGCAGGAGGCAACCGATTGATGTTTCTCTGTCACATTGATGTTTCTCTCTCTCTCTCCCTTCCTCTCTCTCTAAAAAAATCAGTAAAAACATTAAATAAATAAATAAATAAATAAATAAATAAATAAATAAATAAATAAATTGCTTTCATTGAGCTAGAAAGACCTAAGCTGATCAGTATTGTGAATGGATTACAAGTGAACCATCTATTTTCCCAGTGGGCCATACAGATACTACCGTTTTCTATGTGTGAGGCGAGATGAAAAGGGGGGGAAGCACCTTTTTTTCTTTACGGTTTATGAAATATTTACTTCCAGTAAAGACTTGGGGGGTGTTATGGGTTGAATTGTCTCCAAAATTCATACGTTGGAATCCTGACCCCCAGTATCTTATTGTAACTTTATTTGAAAATAGGGTCATTGCAGATATAATTAAGTTAAAATGAGGTCATTAGGGTGAGCCCTAATCCAATATGACTGATGTCTTATATTTTATTTTTAATTTTTTTTTATCCTTACCTGAGGACATTTTTCCATTTTTATTCAGATAGAGTGGGAAAGAAAGAGAGAGAAACACTGACGTGAAAGGAACACATTGAGTGGTCGCCACCCACACGGCCGAACCGGGGCCAGGGACCAACTGCAACCGAGGTACGTGCCCTTAGCGGGAACCAAACCCGGGTCTCTGCACCACAGTTCGATGCTCTAACCGCTGAGCCAAACCAGCCAGGGCTGATGTTTTATAAAAAGGGTAAATTTTACAGAGACAGACATGCACACAGTGTGGGAATGAAGTCAGAGATTGGGCTGATGCTTAGACAAGCCAAGAAAAGCCAAAGATTGCCAGCAAACCTTCAGAAGCGTGAGGAAAGGCATTGAAAATTTTTTTCTCACAGCCCTCAGAAGAAACCCACCCTGCCTACGCCTTGACCTCCAGCCTCTAGAATGTGAAGACAATAATTTTGTTTTGTTTTGTTTTGTTTTTTATCCTCACCCGAGGATATTTTTCCATTTTTTGTTCAGATAGAGTGGGAGGAGAAGGACGGAGAGAGAAACATCGACGTGAAAGGGACACATTGAGTGGTTGCCACCCGAACAACCCAACCAGGGCCGGGGACAAACTGCCACCGAGGTACGTGCCCTTAGCGGGAACCGAACCCGGGTCTCTCTGGACCTCAGGCCAACGCTCTAACCGATGAACCAAACCGGCCAGGGCTAATTTTTGTTGTTTAAGTCACTCAGTTTGTGGTGCTGTGTTGTGGAAGCCCTGGAAAACTAACACAAGGAGAAACTTTAAAATGCTTAAGTCGTAACTCTTCATACCTCTCTTTTTTCACTCTAAATCTAGAAGCTACATTCCTTTTATTTGTGGATTATATAAGTGTCAACTAATCCACATACTGAGCTACTGTTAGGTGCCATGTACTGTGCTAAGGATATAACGACAACACAGAATCTCTACCCTAAAGGCACATGGAGAATATTGGAATGATAGATAAAGATACAATTTAATTGGATTGTATAAAGTATTCCAGTAAGCATAGGACATTTGGGGAGCATAAAAAGACATTTTACTCAGCTCAAGGATTTAGAGGGAACTTTCTGGTCTAAATAATGCCTGAGCTGGTTTTGAAGGAAAAGCAGGAATAAACCAGGTGAGGAGAAATGATGTTCCAGGCTGAGGGAACAGCATAACGAAAATATGAAAATATTAAAGATAGAATTATATGAATGGGAACTGTAACTGTGTATCGTTGAGTATAATGAGAATCAGAAGTGTGAGAAGGAGCTGCGGCTGGCAAGGCAGGTAGGGACCTCAGCATAGACAATTTGTCTTCTCTACTAGGGAACATTAATTCTGCACTGAATGGTACCAAATAGAATAGTTGTAAGCCCAGGTTCATATTTTAGACAAACCAGTTTGGAAACAGAATGAAAGATGGATTTGAGATTAAAGTTAGAAGGCTACAGGAATAGTTGAGGCAGGAGATGTCTAAACTGGAGCAGTAATAGAAGAAATGGAGAGGGAACAGAAGCAAGGACAGAGATGAGGTAAAATTAATTTGACTTGTTGCTTGATTGGATCTGAAGGGTCTAAGGCAAAGCCATAGAATCTCGAATTGGGTGACTGTGTTGTGTGGTTTTGCCATTTGGCGAGATGGGAAATTCTGTGGAGGGACAATCTCATGGAGACGGTGCTGAATTCCTTGGACATATTGAGTTTGGAAAAACTGAGATACACAGAATGGGCATGTCCAGATATTTAAGTCTGAAGTTCAGGGCAGAGGTCAGAGCTAGAGGCAGAGATTTGAAAGTATATAGTATATAGCTAAAATCCTAAGAATGGAAAGATGATACCCAAGAAAAATGTAGAATAAGAAGAGTAATGTCAAAGGATAGAGCCCTGGAGGAAAGACCAACATCTGCGAACTAAGTGGAGGAGTAGGTATTCATAAAGGACATCAAGAAGGAAAGATCAGGGAAGTATTGTAGAAGTGCTACAGGGCACAATAGGAAGTGAAGAAACGGGGGCATTGAGTAATTTAGAATGTCACTTTATAAGATGTTATCATTGTCAATATCATGATCATCATCGTAATTACAAGAAATCATTTGTTGAGGCTCCCTCTAATTCCTGACTTTAATTAAATATACATTAAAGTACAAATACATTACCTGTTTTTCACAAGCCAGTAGTCTTTCCCATTAAGGTTACCATAGCCAACCACCAATACAGCATGATTCACATTGAGAGTGCAGGCTTGGTCATAGTAGACACCTGAGAATAAAATATGGGTGGAGACAAAAAGGGAAGAGTATGTGAAAATAAAGGACATTTGAAAATGCTATTAGTTTTATTAGACTGTTTTGCATATAGGGCTAGGTTAATTAAAATATTAGGAACATAGCCCTGGCTGGTGTGGTTCAGTGCTTAGAGCATCAGCCCATGCACCAAAGGGTTGAGGGTTCAATTCTCAGTCAAAGGCACCTATCTGGGTTGCAGGTTCAATCTTCGCCCCAGTCAGGGTGCATGTGGGAGGCAACCAATCCATGTGTTTCTCTCACATTGATGTTTCTCTCTCACTCCTCCTCCATCCCTCCCTTCCACTCTCTCTTAAAAATCAATGGAAAAAATATCCTTGGATGAAGATTAACAACAACAAAAATTTTAGGAACATATACTCTAATGTTTAAACTATTTAGATTTCAGTCCAGCCAGTGTGGCTCAGTGGTTGAGCATCAACCCTTGCACCATAAGGTCACCGGTTTGATTCCTGGTCAGGACACATGCCCAGGATGTGGGCCCGATTCCCAGTGAGGGGCATACAGGAGGTGGCCAATGATGTTCTCTCTCATCAATGTTTCTATCTCTCTCTCCTTCTCCCTTCGTCTCTCTCTAAAATCAATAAAATCAAAAAAATAACTTTAGATTTCATAATTCTTTGCCATCAATGCTGTATTTGTTATTTCTTTGCCAAGTTTGGCAGCAATCCAACATAGTTCCCTCAGAAATTTTCTTTGAGAAACTGCCACCCTTTTATTCTCATTTTAAACTGACAGTTATTTTTTTTTAAATCTATGAAAGAGTGACATTGATTTGTTGTTCCACCTACTTATGCATTCTTTGGTTGCTTCTTGTTTTTGTTTTGTTTTGTTTTTATCCTCACCTGAGGACATTTTTTTCATTTTTTGTTCAGATAGAGTGGGAGGGAGAGAGAGGAAGAGACAGAAAGAGAAACATCGACGTGAAAGGGACATATCGAGGGGCTACCACCCACACGACCCAACCCGGGCCAGGGACAAACTGCAACCGAGGTACGTGCCCCTAATGGGAACTGAACCCGGGTCTCTCCAGACCGCAGGCCGATGCTCTAACCGCTGAGCCAAACCGGCCAGGGCTTTGGTTGCTTATTATATGTGCCCCGACCAGGGATCGAACCCACAACCTTGGTGTATCCCAACAACACTCTAACCAACTGAGCTAGCCAGCCAAGGCCTACTGTATTTCTTTGTAGATATTCCTAAATTGTTTCTTCCATACATTTTCATCCTTTACTAGATTAAGTGATTTTTAAGGTGAGGTTTAGAAAAAAATTGTAGCCTTCCCTTCGTCTAATACAATGCCATCCCATTAGTGGGTGCCCTCCTGTACACTGCTGTGCTGTACCTACAGTACACAGTGGTACAGTGGTTAGGAGCACAGGCACTGGAGTCAAGTTGTACAGTTGACCATCCCAGATGACCATTTTCAGACAGTGTGACTTCAGGCAAGTTAACCTGTCTAAGACTTGGTTTTTTCATCTGTAAAATGGGGGTACTGTGAGGACTAAATGAGATAATGCATGGACAGAATTCATCATAGTACTTGACATATAGTGTTAGTAAACTTTGTTATCACTTTTTCTAATTAGAACTGGGTATAAAATGTGTGTATGAACTGGAGGATTCTGTTTATCCTACTCAAAGCATTCAGGTGGAGTGATGGGGAAAGATAATATTCCTCCTTCCAGTGCAAGGACAGAATAGAACTAGAGGATACTATATCTGAGTTTTTACCACTTTTGTAGAGGAAGAAAGAAGGATGGCTCGCATCTATAGCAACAGACACGGGTCCTTTATTGGCCACAGCTTCTTTCAAGGCATCTTCACGGCCGGAAGGAAGGTCAGTATACTTTGAACATGTGGCAGCTCTATATTTTGAGTCATATTGGCACTTTCCATCCTGAAAAAAAAAAAAAAAAAAAAAAAGTATAAATATGATAAAGAAATATACTTCAACTTTTTTTTACAAATCATGTGTTCTTTTGTCATTTAGCCTTTTCAAGTGTCTTAAGTTACCTTCCTGTTTTTGACGAAAGAAAAATAAAATCTTCCAAAGCCTAACAGTTCAATGTTTCATCAATAGCACAGGAAATACAGAACTCTCCTATTGTTTTAATTCTGGATATCTTCATATATGCAGAAGTTGCCAGGATAATGTCCCTCAGACTCTAAGATGGATTGTAGGGGTATACTACATAAAGATCATAAACTCTAGACTAGAACTTTAAAATCTTTTTGGTGATATGTCTGCAAGACGATCTGCAGTTTAATGATGGTTTATAAAGACTACATTAGAGTATGTTTCATGTGGGAAAGAGAAGGTTACCAATTCACGTTTGTTTATACAACTATACTTTTAAACTGCTTAGTAGGAAAAATAACTTGAAGGAAATAAACCAAAGTAATAATGGATAAAGTAGAAGGTTTTCGAATGGTGTTTTTTATCTTTTCTAAATTTTCTGCAATATGGGTATATTACTTATATTATTTAATTAAATGTATAATGAACTTTTAAGGAGGAGGAACAAAGCATTACTTAGCTTTTTAGTAGGTAGAGGAATGATGTGGTTGATGATCTGAGAATAAGAGTGAGTGTAGGAGGCTACAGGACAAAAAGTTTAAATACCAGACAGAAATATAGGAAGAATTTTAAGGAAGGTTTGCTGAAAATGCCTTTTTAGGTATGAATTCTATTTGCTTCTTTAAAATCAATATGCCACTGATAATTAAGAAGGCTCCTGCATAAGAGAGAGAACATCTGAGAATTCAGAATCTCTAATCGGGGTTCTCGCACACATGACACTGTTTCTCAAGCAATTTGCTTGGTGGTGAGTTTAGTACAGTCAGTCAACGGATATAAGATCGTGGGACAGGGACAGCCCAAAACGTTTGCTTGCCACATACCATGGCTTTGTAGGGATAGGAAGCTTCTGATTGGATGCCATTGTTGTCAATGATATATTGGAAAGCCTGTGTTATGTATCCACCTTTGCAGCCTTTATTGAGGTACTTTTCAGTTGCGCAATCCACCAGGTTCTGTGGACTCAGAGATATCAGCTTTCCTGTCTTCAGCTTCAGCTGTGCTTCCAGGGCCCCCACAGCACTGAAAGCCCAACAAGAACCACAGGAACCCTAAAACAGAGATAAAGTCATGCAGGCAATATTAGAAAGTCAGTAAGGATGATATCATAACACAAATTTAGCAACACCTAATATGTTAGCCCTATCAGTAATTACTGGAAGAGCTTCTCCCACCACAATTTCCTTTCCCCTTAGACCAGTGATTTCAACTGATATGCCCCAGCACACCCGTGTGCCTAAAGAATGTTTAAAACATGCAATACCTCACTAATAAGGGGCTCGGATCACTTATCCTTAGGTTGTCAAATTAAAAATGACAACAGCCTTGGCCGGTTTGGCTCAGCGGTTAGAGTGTTGGTCTGAGGACCAGAGTCTTGGGTTCAATTCTGGTGAAGGTCACGTACCCATTTGCAGATCGTCCCTGGCCCTGATCGGAGTCGTGTGGGAGGCAACCAGTCAGTGTGTCTCTCTCACATGAGTATTTCTCTCTCTTTCTCTCTCTCCCACTCTATCTAAAAATACTTGAAATAATATACTCGGGTGAGGATTTGAAAAAAAAAGAAAAATGACAACAACCAACCTAATAATAGCTGTCTGGAGTGAATTAATTGAAATTATACCTATTTAGCCCTGGCTGGTTTGGTTCAGCAGTTATAACATCAGCTCTTGGACCCAAGGGTCATGGGTGTTATTCCCAACAAGAGCACTTACCTAGGCTGCAGGTTTGATCATGGCCCTGGTCAGGGGTTATGCAGAAGATAGCCAACCTCTCTCTCTCTCCCCCTCCCTTCCTTCCTCTCTATCTAAAAAAATAAATAAATACATAAAAATAGAAAAATATCCTCAGGTGAGGAGTAACAAAAATATTATACCTATTTTTTTGTGTGTCAGATCACCAAAGATAATTTTTTTTTTTTGGTGTGCCACAGAATTTTTATAATTAGTTTATGTGTGCCATGAGATGAAAAAAATTGAAAATTGCTGTTTTAGACAATGGGAATGAAGACTAAATACTTGCTCATTCTCTGGGCAAGGTTCATCCTTGATAGAAATTTGCAAAGGCTGAGCTCAGAGCATAATTGCCATATTCAAACATATTAAGAAGTAGTACTTATTAATTACATACTAAATCCAAGCTATCTTCACCCATAAATAAAGGAGACAGTTGCCTACACAGTAAAATGATTTTGAGAGGAGCTAGAGTGATTCCCTTGACCTAAAATACCTTTCCTCCTGACAAATGTTGCCTGAAACATAAGTTCAAAATTTCTTTTAGCTTCAGATTTTAAATCAAATGATATTTTACAAACAGAAAAGGTGCAGAGGGTCCAGAGCCCTATAGTAAGTGTCTCACTGTCTTCTTTTCTCATTCCACCCTGGTCTCTACCCAGAAGAATCAAACTGAATTTGCTTTTGGTTAAAGCAAAATCCCCTATTAGCCCTGGCCAGTTTGGCTCAGCGGTTGGAGGGTTGGCCTGAGGACCAGGGAGTCCTGGGTTTGGTTATTGCTAGGGGCACGTACCAAAATAAATAAATAAATCACCTATTAAAATGCAAACACCCAGGGAAAGAAGTTCATTAAATTATTTATAGTCAACACCTAAATATGTAGTTTATCAGATCTTCCCAAACTTTTATTTTAGAAAAGCTTCAGTAGGAAACCCAAAACTAGTTGAAAGAAAAATAACTAGGTGGAAAAAGAGATCAGCAGTACCATTCACTTCTGAAGTTGTATATTCTGCAGGGGTCACAAGCTGGGGCAGCTGCTCAGAATTCTCGGATCCTTCCTTACCCAGACCTCTAAGGTGATACATTTGTTTTACTCTTAGTTATCCCTAACTAATTGACAATTTTTGTGGCTTTTTTTTTAAACAAGTAAACTAAAGGCAATATGAAAACATAGAATAAAAAAATTTAAAACCCCTCTTTCTTATTCCAATAATGCAAGCCTAGTCACGAGTTAATTTGGCAGGTACAATTTGTAAAGCACTCTGAGCTCTAGCTCCTTCCTCTTCTTCAAACCAGAATTTCGTTAGTGAGATGCGGGAATAAACCGCCTGTTAGATACTGTCTCAACACAACACTGTTCTCAAGCAATTAGCTTGATGGAGGGTCCAGTGCAGACGATGGATAGCATGAGCACTGAAAGTTTGTCTTGCCCTGGCCGGTTTGGCTCAGCGGTTAGAGCGTCGGCCTGCGGTCCGGAGAGACCCGGGTTCGGTTCCCGCTAAGGGCACGTGCCTCGGTTGCAGTTTGTCCCCGGCCCTGGTTGGTTGTGCGGGTGGCGACCACTCGATGTGTCCCTTTCACATCGATGTTTCTCTCTCTCTCTCTCTCTCCCTCCCACTCTACCTGAACAAAAAATGGAAAAATGTCCTCGGGTGAGGATGATAAAAAAAAAAAAAAAGAAAGTTTGTCTTGACCCGTTTGCTTATGTCGCAGCTTTTGTATATGTGGTTCTAACCACGGGTGTTCTAAGCACTGTGGGGAACACGAGTAAAGTACGATGTGTGGTCCTGGCCCTCAGGAAGCTTACGATTTAGTTGGGAAGATGAAATAACAAAAAGAATTAGAAAGTAACATAAGGGAGATTCACTGCCAAATTATGTAGCTAGACTAAGTATTTAAGGAAGAGAGAACTCTACCTGGGGCACAGGGGCCTGAGATGATAATACTCACCTGGTTTTTCACTTCGGTAACACACCCCTTGTCTCTCCAGTCCACAGAATCAGGTAATTTCTGATTAGAGTTCAACTTATAGGTGACATTTCTCTGCCATTGGCTGGGAACTCTCAGGGAACTCATTAAAGACATCACTTCTTCACTGGTCTACAAGGTAAATATAAATATCTCCTTTCACTTATATCCTGCTTTTCAATATCCCAATAACTGTAACTGTGAACATATTTAACAACCGAGAAAAACTAGTGGTAGTTGTGACCAACATAGATACTGCTAACTACCTCGTAGGTGACTTATTTGGGTCTCTTCTTTACTCTTACATTTTGCATTAGTATCCCAGCTGGACATAGGGAAGGAGAAAAAGAAAACTGTAAAAAGTTAGAAGTTACAGGGAGACAGATTTTTGGTTCAGAGCAAGGCCTAATTTTTATTACAGAGCTGTCTATGCCCTGGCCGGTTTGGCTCAGGGGTTAGAGTGTCAGCCCTTGGACCAGAGAGTCAAGGGTTTGATTCCTTGTAAAGGGCACATACCTCAGTTGGGGTTTGGTCCAGGGCCCTGGTGGGTTGTGTGAGGGGCAGCCAGTTGATGTGTCTCTCTCACATTAATGTTTCTCTCTCTCTCTCTCTCTCTCTCTCTCTCTCTCTCTCTCTCTTCTGCTCTCCCTCCCTCCTACTCTATCCTCAGGTGAGGATTAAAAAAAAAAAGAGCTGTCTAAAAAGTGGACTGAACTGATTTTCCTTGTGAGAAAGAATTACAAAGAGTCCCACATTTAAGTTGGAATTTAATTTAATTCGGGTGTTCCCTTCTAAGGGGTACCATGATTTTTTTTTTTTTTTCAGTAAGATTTTATTTAGCCAAATATGTTTATGCCAGGGAGCAAGATCACAAATGCTCCTATGAGTCTTAATTTTGGTCACAGTGGTACAGTTTTGCACAGAACAGAATCTAAAATGGAAGATTATTTGTGATAGTAAATGCCCACATTCCCCAATTACGAAAGCAGGTGGACCATATTAAATGGTCAGTTTAGACTTTCATAAGTGTGGTAACTACTCTAAAAGAGTATGAGTAGTCTTTGGATAATGCTTTATAAAAGTAATTAAAAATAAAAGCAATACTAGTCTGTGATTTTAAAATAAAGAAGGGATTTGTCAAGGAAAGTGGTCACAGTAGGACTAAGGAATTTATACAAATTCTTGTTTTTAAATTCTACATTTTTCTAATGTTGTACATATGTAGATAATTTGCCTTTGTCATGTACTTTCAAATTGCTTTTGGAGAGACAGAAATCATGCTTACCAAGAGATAAAAATAGGATTCTTTGTAGTTTACCTACCATGTCTGCCAGGTGGTTCATGCCTAGATCGTATGAATGCATTCCCATCGAATGTTCCAGGTTGTGAAGCATCACAAATTTTAGATTCTTTTCCCAGATGAGACGTCGTGCTTCTTCCTCATTCTAAAATATAAGGAAAAGAACATAGTTATACTGAGTCCTGCACAAATAAGTGTTCAATAATGAAAATAAACATTACGAAGCATTCTACCAAATGTGCATCTGTCAGGAAGCATGCAAATAAAAAAATATGTTCAATGTAATTGGTAAGACTGCATATTAATCTTATTCTCGCTCTTAGTTACTTGAGCACGATTAATATTATTTTATGACATATATAATGAATTTCCTTCATCTGCTAGAAAGGTTTTTTTACAAACTGCTTTTGGCTGAAATATATCCTTTGTAGGTGGAAAACTCACTTAATCTTTACAGGCTTTTAAAAAAATGTTTATTTTTTTACCCTCACTCCTGAAAAATAGTTTAACTGAGTATATATTTCTAGGTATTTTTCTTTAGTGATTTAAAGATATTTCTCCATAGTCTTCTGGTAATTATTATTGCAAATGTAAGTCTAATCGCTATACTTCCGTTTTTAACTTGGGTAACTTTTGTGATTCTCTTCCGCTTTGATATTTTGCTGCTTCATTACATGTATCTGGGTCTGGGTTTCTTTATGTCCTCTCTTGGATACTATCGATTGAAAAATGCAGGGCTTTTTTTTTTTAATCTAGAAAATTCTCAACCACTCTCTCTTCAAATACTGCTTCTCAACCTTTCCATCTAACTATCTTCTTCAGAAACTTCTATCAGATGTAGTTTAGAGCCTTAAACTCTTTTTCATCTCTTTTACCTGCATTTTCATAGCTTCTTCTTCTTATTTTCATGTGCTGCCTTGTGGGTGAATGTTTCACTACTATCATCCAGATTGCTGATTCTATCCAACGCTTTCCAGTCCAGAGTTCATATCCTTTTTATTGAGTTCTTAGGTCAATTACTGTATTTTTTTATTTTCAAGATTTCTAATTAAATATATAATTTATTTTACAATTTTTATTTGTATTGATGTTATTTTATTATATGTATATATATTTTTATATTCACACACACACACATATATATATAATCTTAAAATCTTTTTTGATTCTATTATTTTAATTTTATCCACAGTGAATCCATATTTTGACTGTTGAACCTGCTGCCCTTGGGGAGCTTCATTTACGTAGGACTGATGTACGTGGAATACAATGTGCATGGTGCCTCCTAAAATGACTGACCCTCATCCCCACCCCCAAAGCTATAGTTTCCAATAAGTAATAACCCAATGAGCAGCCAGCAACAGCTCTTTTCTGCCTCACTTCGTTGAATGCTAGAGCCCAGGCCCAGACCTTGGTTCCAGGTAGCAAGTCTAGATGCAGCCCCCTCTCCCTTAGAGCAAGATGCTACTGTTACCCCAGGAGTGGACATGTACAGACATACTTCCAAACCACTAGAGGGGACAGCTGGAATAAAGAAAAATAAATATAATGAAGTATATGAAAGGAAAAAAGAAATGAACTTTGAGATAAATAAAATAGAACAAATTAAATTAGAATATTAATGGAAAGCCCTGGCCGGTTTGGCTCAGCGGTTGGAGCGTCAGCCTGCGGTCCGGAGAGACCCGGGTCCGGTTCCCGCTAAGGGCATGTACCTCAGTTGCAGTTTGTCCCAGCCCTGGTTGGGTTGTGCGGGTGGCGGCCACTCGATGTGTCCCTTTCACGCCGATGTTTCTCTCTCTCTCTTCCTCTCTCTCCCTCCCACTCTATCTGAACAAAAAATGGAAAAATGTCCTCGGGTGAGGATAAAAAAAAAAAAAAGAATATTAATGGAAAGTCATTTTTATTTCTCCTTAGTGACTGAAATCATTAACAAGAGAGATAGTTTTGCCCTGGCCGGTTTGGCTCAGGGGTTAGAGCGTCGGCCTGCGGTCCGGAGAGACCCAGGTTCGGTTCCCGCTAAGGGCACGTACCTCGGTTGCAGTTTGTCCCTGTCCCTGGTTGGTTGTGTGGGTGGCAGCCACTCGATGTGCACATCGATGTTTCTCTCTCTCTCTCTCCCTCCTGCTCTATCTGAACAAAAAATGGAAAAATGTCCTCGGGTGAGGATTAAAAAAAAGGAAAAGAAAAAAAAGAGAAAGATAGTTTTTATTCAACCAGATAGTGGCGCTACCTGCACATCTAACTCTAGTTGACTTTGAAATTAGAGGCCTAAATTCAAAGGGAGTGGGTGAGGGTGAAGTTTATCACCACCAAGAAAACAACTCAGAGTGCACATTCTACTCGAAGCATCTTTTTTATACAAAAACAAGTAAATGCATAATCAAGTAGTAAATACATAATGTTTGCCTACAAAGTCAAAAATATTATAGTTATAGAACTTAGTTATTTGGAGCACTAGGGTTAAGGTCTTAAAATCAATCAGTAACTATGCTTTGAAATGACAAAACAAGGACAAAGTGGGAAGTGAGACTCAAGAAACAACATCTGATAGCACTTCCAGGTGCCAGGGACGGAAACATGGGTCTTTTATTTCCTAAACATGTACTCTCTTCCCCTTGGCCTGGGACCTTCATTCCCGTTATCTGCTTTGCTTGCTCCCTGGCGTCTCTCAGTCCTCTGCTCAAATACCTCCTTTCATGTGAGGCCTTTCCTGACCATTCTGTAGAATAATCACTCCCAGCCTCTTCCAGTCATCATACAGGGTCCTTTCTACCCTCCATGTCTTGCTTTATTTTTCTCTACTACCATCCAACATACTACATACCTGCTTATTTATTGACTTATTTCTTGTCTCCCCTACTAGGATATAAGCTCCATCAAAACAGGAACTTTGTTTTGTTTCCGGCTGTGTCTCTAGTACCAAGAACATAATCAGGGAAGAAATGTGAACGTACCATTTATTGAAAACACAGCTTGTAAGAATATAATTTGAGAGGGAGAAAGCACAGAGTACTAGAGTAAAAGCGAATCACTCAAGTGGCAATGTCCTCTACCTTGTCCTTGTATTCCTTGCCATAGGTTTTCTTCCAGAGATCCCAGTGATGATCCAACGTGGGGTCTTTGTGCAGTTGTGCCATTGAGCACCCCAGGAGAACCCAAAGCAGCCATTTCATTCTGTTCAAGGAAAAATCATGAAGGAAGAGTAGCTATTAACTGCATATATTGTGACCATATCTTTCATAACAAAAAATAGCAATGCAAAGTTTGTCAGAGGGACAAAATATTACAAATCAGACTTATACGGGAAATTTGGGGGGAATGTACAGGGTGGAGCAAAAGTAGGCTTATGGTTCTTTGTGTGGAAAATAATACAATAATTAATACATAATAATACAAGAATAAACTGTTTCATGTATTCACAACTGTAAACCCACTTTTTTTTTTTTATCCTCACCCGATGACATTTTTTCATTTTTTGTTCAGGTAGAGTGGGAGGGAGAGAGAGGAAGAGAGAGAGAGAGAAACATCCACGTGAAAGGGACACATCGAGTGGCTGCCACCCACACGACCAACCAGAACCGGGGACAAACTGTAACCGAGTGTAACCCACTTTTGCCCCACCCTGTATAGTCTCAGGGAATAACTGCAGATTCATGCTTAGAAGTACTCTAAAAAGTGGTTTTCAGAAATTTCCTGATATTTGGTAAACCACATTCAAGGTTGGTGGTGTTGCAGCAAAGCAGGGACTTTTCAGGATTTGCCAACAAATCTAATCAGTGGAAATCCTCTTTTCTCATTAAGACGAAGACAAACATTTGAAAAATCACTTATCTTCATAATTTTTTAATATGTAAGTTCTTCTTAACCGGCCTATTTATTTATTTTTAAATAATTTTTCTTTACTGATTTGAGAGAGAGGAGAAGGGAGAGGGAGAGAGAGACACACACATCAACGAGAGACAATATCAATCGCTGCCTCTCCCACGCGCCCACGGGATCAGGTCCACCCGGCCTGACCAGGAATAGAACCCCTGGGCTTAACTGGCCTATTTAAAGGTGGTTAAAAGACAACTCTCATGTATCATTTTCACATCCAAGGGTCATTTCATTTATTTTACTTTTTAAAATGTTTTCCCCCAACAATCAAAATATCTTTTTAAAAGGAAACAATTAACTACTTTTAAAAACACGACTTATATATTTAATACAAAAAGACTTTAACAGAAATTCAGCTCTTTCTCAAACTGGATTCTACTTTCTCTTCTGTTTCTTTTTAACTCACAATAACTAGAATTATAACCATGTAACCTTCAAATTATATTTCAAAGAAGCTACATTTCAGCCTCAGGTTTAGATATCCAAGCACACATTAACTTTTCAAAAATAAATTCTTTTTCGTCAAAAATAGGAGGTAAATTGAGCGATATGATTTTTTTAGTTTACTTCCTGAAACCAAAGATTTAAAACCTGGCAGGCAGAGCAAACTAAAAACACAAAGAGTTTAAAGACCAAATGGAAGAAAAAAGACCACAGTACATACATAATGGAACCAGCAGTTGCTCCCATACTAAGAATGCTTGAAGGTGGGCTCTCTCCAAAGATTCCAAAGACAGCAAAGAGACTTCAGCTAACTGTGACTTTAAAAAGAAATTGGAACTTGTCATGTGAGGTATCCACGAAGAGGAAGTGAACTTTTATTTCAGTTTCGTTTAAAATCTGATACATCAGCTGTCTCTATCCCTGTCCCTATAGTTTTGGAGACAAAGTGGATACACTAATTATCAAAAAGAGGCCCTAGTGCCCTGGCTGGTTTGGCTCAGCGGTTAGAGCATCGGCCTACAGACTAGAGAGTCCCGGGTTCAGTCCTGCTAAAGGCATGTACCTCGGTTGCAGTTTGTCCCCAGCCCCGGTTGGGGTTGTGTGGTGGCAACCACTCCATGTGTCTCTCTCACATCAATGTTTCTCTCTCTCTCTCTCCCTCCGTTTCTCCCTCCCACTCTATCTGAAGATAAATGCAAAAATGTCCTCAGGTGAAGAAAAGAAAAAAAAGGGTCCCCAGTACAGGAGATCAGTAGAACCTACTTAGCAAAATAAGAGCAGTACACGTTTATTCTTTGAATCCTTCATCATTTTGATAATTTACTTTTGTTAAAATCACCAATTTTTTTTTTAATCTTCATCTGAGGATATTTTTTACATTTATCTTCAGACAGAGTGGGAGAGAGAGAGAAAAACATCGATATGAGAGAGACACATCAATTGGTTGCCACCCACATGGCCCCAAGAGGGGCTGGGGACCAACCCCAACCAAGGTACGTGCCCTTGGCCAGAATCAAACTCGGGACTCTTTGGTTCACAGGCCTACGCTCTTAACAGCTGAGCCAAACCGGCTAGGGCTAAAATCACCAATTTTTCAGATGGAAAAATTTAGTTATGAAGAAATTAGGATTAAGCTCCTGAAATCCCAGCTTTCTCCATGATTTCCTAGGAAAACTTATTTCTTTTAACACAACTCATCCATGATCTACTATTGTCTAATTCTCTTCAGCTATTCCTTGGTTTATCAATTTGAAATATCTTTTTTTTATTAAATCCTCACCCGAGGACACTTTTTCCATTTTTTGTTCAGATAGTGTGGGAGGGAGAGCAAGAAAGAGAGAGAAAGAAACATCGACATGAAAGGGACACGAGTGGCTGCCACCCACACGACCCAACCAGGGCCGGGGACAAACTGCAACCGAGGTATGTGCCCTTAGCGGAAACCGAACTCGGGTCTCTCTGGACCGCAGGCCCACGCTCCAACTGCTGAGCCAAACCGGCCAGGGCAATTTGAAATATCTTTATTGATAGTAATATCTGTTAGTATATTCATGGGGGAAAAAAGACACTTGTATATATCTAACTGCTGCATTGTTAGCTGGGTGGAGGTGGGGGCACGATGAACTATCATTTTTTACAATTTGCATTTTTTTAATTACTAATGAGATTTAACATCTTTTTATCCATTTATTGACCATTTTCATTTTCTGTGAAATGGCAATTCATATCTTTTATTTTTCCATTATATTGTAGCTTTTTCTTAGTGACTTGGAGTTTTAAAATTTTTGATAGTTATATATACTAAAAATATCTTCTCTCTATTTCTCTCCTGTCTTTTACCCTTGCTTATGTTGACTTTTCCTATATAAAATCTTAAAATGTTGATGTAGGAAATTTTATTCAGCTTTTACCTTATGACCTATGCTTTTTGTGTCTTCTTTAAGAAAGTTTTCTTCATCCCAATGTCATAAAAATTCATTCAATTCTCATAGTTTTAGAGTGTGTAATATCTTTTCTTTTCTAGAATTGTTGTTGTTAGGCCTTTATTCCATCTGGAATTTAATTTTGTGTATGGTATTTGTTTTCCCATTTTGATTGGAAACCTCTATCATATCCAAAATTCCCATATATGCTTGGGTCAGTTTCTGAGCTCACTGATATGTTCCATTTATCTATTGCTCCTTCAATACCACATGGTTTTATTTAAAATAGTGTTGTGTATGTCTTGATGTCTAGTAGGGGGAGTTATCTCTGCCATTTCTATGTTTGTCTTAGCATTTTTTGCATGTTGACTTTTTTGTTGTTGTTGTTGATCCTCACCCAAGGATATTTTTCCATTGATCTTTAGAGAGAGTGGAAGGGAGAGAGGGAGGGAGAGCAAGAGAGAGAAAAAGAACTAAACATCAATGTGAAAGAGACACATAGGCTGGTTGTTTCCCGCATAACTCCGACTGGGGCTGAGATCAAACCTGGGACCCAGGTAGTGCCCCTGACCAGAAATCCAACCCATGACCCTTTGGTGTGTGGGCTGATGCTTTGACCACTGAACCAAACCGGCCAGAGCTGTAGTAGACATTTTCATGTTTGTGGACATTTATGTTTTCTTAAGAAAAGATTTTTTGTTATGGAAAATTTTAAACATATATCAAAATAGAGATAATAGTAAAATGAGCCCCCATGAAACCATTATCCTACTTCCACAGTTATCAATACAGGGCGAACTTTATTTTATTTATACTCCCACTACCCAGATTATTTTGAAGTAATCCTAGAAATTGGATTATTTTATATGTAAATATTCCAGTAAGTATCTCTAAAAGATAACGACTCTTAAACAGCCCTGGCCGGTTTGGCTCAGCGGTTAAAGCATCAGCCTGCGGTCCAGAGAGACCCTGGGACTCAGGTAGTGCTGACCAGAAATCAGGGTTCGGTTCCCATTAAGGGTACGTACCTTCAGTTGCTGTTTGTCCCAGGCCCTGGTTGGGCTGTGTGGGTGGCAACCACTCAGTGTGTCCCTTTCATGTCAATGTTTCTCTCTCTCACTCTCCTTCCCACTCTATCTGAACAAAATATCGAAAAGTGTCCTCAGGTGAGGATAAAAAAAAAAGACTCTTAAACAAATATAACCACAATACTATTAGCACATCTAAAATAAATTAACAATAATGTCTTAAGTTCATCAAACATCATGTCAATATTTATTTTCTCATCTCATATATATATTTTTAATTTATTTATTTTTGTTACAGATGTTTCCCCTTTTTCACCCACTGATTCCCCCCTCCTCCTCCCTCCCCATCCTGTCCCCACCTTTGTTGTCCATGTCCATTGTTCATACATACATGCATATAAGTTCTGTGGTTTATCTCTCCCCCTACCCCCTCTTCAGGGGATTGTCAGTCTGTACCCCACTTACACGTCTCTGGGACTACCCTGTTCCTCAGACTGTTACATTCATTAGTTCATTATATTCCACAAATAAGTGAGATCATGTGATATTTGTCTTTCTCTGCTTGGTTTGTTTCACTTAGGATAATACTTTCCAGGTCCCTCCATGTCGTCTTAAAGGATAAGAGATCTTTCTTTCTTACAGCTGCATAGTACTCCATTGTGTATATGTACCACTGCTTTTTTATCCATTCGTCTATTGATGGACACTTGGGCTGTTTCCAGATCTTAGCTATTTTAAATAGTGCTGCTACAAACATGGGGGTACATGGGGGGTGGGTCTGCTGCTTTTCCCCACAGCTCAAGGAAGTTGCACACTGGCCACCGTCCTTTGTGGCCACAACTCAGCATAAACTCTGAGTGCCCTCCAAATCCTGGGTGTCCCCAGAGAGTTCCAGCCCAGTCTGCCCTCCCTCTGCCATAGCCCTCGGGTGAGTGGTTGTAGCTATTTTAGTGCTCTGTCCTGGCTCTCTGGGCTGTGGAGCAGGCTTGGTCTTTATTTCCCAAGGGCACTGCTCACAGCTAAGACTGCTGCTGTCTGTGGGCTCCCAGCCCGCCACCCTCTCGCACCTCTGCAGATCCTACCAGTGTCCCTGGTTATATGGTCCTGTCCTGCTGCTCTTCTGTTGCTTTTTTCTGAGGATTTCTCTTTATTTTAGTTGTAATTCCCATTTGGTCCTGGGAGATCATCCGCGTGGCTTCTATTAACTCCACCTCCTTTTTCATATCCTCTAAGCCTATCTTGTGTGTAGCTGGGTTGCACAGGCCTTTCTGGTGCCCCCACACCCTGCAGGCCTCATGGGTAACTGGATCACACAGTCCCTCTGGGGACCTGGCTCTCTGCCTATGTTATGTGCTGCTGGGTTGCACAGACCTCTCTGGTGCTTCAGCACCCCACAGGCCCTGTGTAACTAGATCGCGAAGTCCCTGCTGGGTGGCACAGGCCACTCTGGTGTTTCAACACCATGCAGGTCCCGCGAGAAACTGGATGGCACAGTCCCTGCTGGGTCACGCAGGCCTCTCTGGTGCTGAAGCACTCTACAGGCCCATGGGTTACTAGATTGCACAGTCCCTGCTGGGTCACACAGGCCTCTCTGGTGCTTCAGCACCCCACAGGCCCATGGATAACTAGATTGCGCAATCCCTGCTGGGTTGCACAGTCCTCTCTAGTGCTTCAGTACCCCACAGACCCCGTGGGTAACTAGATCGTGCAGTCCCTGCTGGGTCATGCAGGCCTCTCTGGTGCTTCAGCACCCTGCAGGTCCTGCGGGTAACTGGATGGCACAGTCCCTGCTGGGTCGCACAGGCCTCTCTGGTGCCCCTGCACCCTGCAGTTCCCACAGGTGGGCAGCTGGATTACACTAGTCTCTCTCAGGCTCAGGCTTCCCACTGCACTTGTGAACTACTGGACCACACAGGCCTCTGTGGAGCCCCAGGTCCCGCCGCTGGTGGCTGGGGAGTGCTGCTGCCCCATGGGGTTCAACTCCTGCTTACCTTTTGCTATAGTTTTTGGGAATAGGTTTCATCGGCTGGTCTGTGCTTCTGTTGCCTGGGGATGGATGTCTACTCCCAGCCTCTGTTGCTGGGGGTATATCTTGACTCTGATCGGGCTGCTACTATGGGGGATGGTGCTGGGTTCTGGGCTGTCTGTGGCTTCTGCGACCAGCACCTTGGCAGCTCCACTACTGTGCACTGGTCTGTGTTGACACAGGGTGTCCACTGGTCCGATGGTGCCAGGTGTGCTGGTGGGCTCAGGTTGCTGGGCCCTAGCCGCTCCCACTGCCTTCTCCCAGGGAAGACCAGGGATCTTCCAAAATGGTGGGACTTCCCCACGGTGCAGGGAGAAGCACCCTGAAGGGCTGCTTACCGTGGTAACCGGCTGCTCCGTCCACAGCA